TTCTCCTTCGCTCCTGTCACAGTTACTACGACCACTAGATGTCGCCTAGCAACAAAACCTAACTATGATGTCATGATAAGCTGCTGCACAGACGACCTGTGGGCTGCGTTTCTTACAGGACAGTCTCAGCTAGGCTAGTTGTTTCCACCTGTTTCCAGTCTTATGCTAAGCTAGAGCTAACACGCTGCTGTGTTAGACATGAGTGTGACAGTTTCCAAAAACGTCAAACTGCTCCTTGAAGACTGAAAACTGGAGCCTCCACCATCTCCGTCCTCTGTATCTCTGAAACTCAGTTTGCTCGCTCTTGAATGTCTCATGATGCAACATTCAAGTGAAGTCAGAATATTTGAAGCTTCTCAAAAGAAAAAGACCGGAAGACCAACACGAGCCTCCAGCGTGGAAACACACACAGGTAGTCGAGTCTAGTATTTGTGTGGACCACTTCAGATGTGGGAGCTGCTGGGCCACTATTACAACACCACACACACACACACACACCACACAACAACACACACACACACACACACACCTATTTTAAACACAGGTATAAAAGTCGCCCATGTGTTTCCAGTCTCGCTCCTTATGGGCCACATGATCCACTTCCCGTCTCAACAGGAAAACTCCTGTAAATCAGCCTCATTAGCCCACTGACCTGTGTGCGTGTGTGTGTGTGTGTGTGTGGTGTGGTGTGTGTGTGTGTGTGTGTGTGTGTGTGTTGTTGCACAGGAGCGACCTCCCCTCAGGATCCAGTAAGCGCCGACCCCCCAGCGCCCTGCAGATGCTGCGGCAGCGCGTTCGGAGGCTGAGGACCTGTTTGAGGACTTCTGACCCTTCACAGACCACAGGATCACAGGATCACATGATCACAGGGATCACAGGATCACATGATCACAGCTCTGATGTAGACTGGTAATGCTCTGATATTTTTACACTGAATGTTCGGATTAAAGGTCAGGGATTATAGGAAACTTGTTTTTAAGGAAACAGACGGTGGACGAGTGAAAGTTCGTTTCCTCTGTGTTTTGATGGAGGGTGACGAAGCAGAGGGTCTGATTACAGCCCGTTTTTATTCATCAGGAAGTCTAGCTAAAGTAAAGAGAAGAAGAAACGGCCCTGAATCCCCCCAAAACAACATCTGTTTACCATTCAAGTGACCCGCTAATTAACGATGTCGGGAACAGAGAGAGAGGAGACGGTTACAGTAGGACAGCCTGTGATCCGAGGAGGGAAATGCAGGAGGTCGCGGCGTCGATTGAATTTGTCGTTTCCAACAAGCCTTCGACCACAATCATTTCACAACCGGTAACCAAGGTGTTTTTATTACGGAACCACGGCACCAAATGTTGCATCATCTCGATGTAGGAGTCACTTTAACCCAAAACAATGAACCAAAGCTTTCTCTGTTGAAGTCGACCCAAACTTTAACCACCGGAGCTGCACATCAAATCAACAGATTCAACTGAGTGTCGGGAGGCAGAGATGAAATGAAGAGTGGAGTCCGATCAGGAAACACGTGGCAGGGTCCTGCTGCAGACAGGTAGACCTACCTGTAGTCATGAGCTGCATGTGTGGATCCAGCTTCTTCCTCTGTTCGCTCACAAGCCCAAAGTGAAAAGTTCAGAGCGAGTTTTCGTGGTTCTGCTTCTCGTCCTGCAGCGTCAGCATCGACGGAAAAAGTGTCGACTACATTCATGCAACGTTTCAAAACAAACAATATTTTTCCTACAGACTCTTTAAATCTTTGTTTTAAGATAAAGTTTAAGATAAAGACTCAGGCGCTCGTTAGCTATGACGATCCGACACGTTAAAACACTGACCACATACACGTGCATCAGACCTCTGCTCTCAGCTTCTCATCCTGCTGCTGCTGTAACTCGCCTCCTGTCTGTAGTTTTACATTCACAAAACGTCATGAACTGCTTTTCTACATATTTACACATCTGTCTTTTTAATATTTGTACCAAATAAACGATGTAAATGTTCACTGTTTAACTACGAAGGTGGTCCATTGATGGTTTGTTTTATTTGATTGAATATGATCTTTAAAGGGAACGTCATTAAAAATAACCTTCAAA